TTCCTGCTGCTCCCTTCAACCAGCACTTCATTCCCTGAAGGACTTGTCACTTAGAAACGCTGTTCTAATTTGAACCAAGCAGCACATAAAGAGTATTCACTCATCCTCAGATATCATGCTTTTTTTTCCTGTCCTTCCACAAAGACAAAACAGGGCATCTGGTCGTTGTTGAGAGGCAAGGATTTTTAGGGCTTGCCACTGTAGAGTGAAATAGTAAAACCTTTAAATAAAAGAACAAGGCTGAGCAAGCATAGCAGACAAACACCAACAGGTCAGGAAGCTTTAGAAGAGAGGATAGTAAAGGTTTGAGAACAGCCCAGGAGCAGTGTGAGAGCACAGGAAGCACAAAGGGCCTTATGCCAGGCCAGGACCAGGGCAGGGTCTGAGGTTCCTCTGTTGGCAAGACTAAGCGACCCGTTTTGAAAAGTGGCTTCAAATTATAAATTTCATCAGAAGCTTGATTCCAGAGAAGTCTTGATTGGGGCAATGCAATATTCAGTCTTTATAGCTCTACATTAAACCATTTAATGTCCAGCACTAAACTCTAATTTTCCTTTAACAGGTTTAAACTTGCCTGAGCTGGGCTAAGAGCAGCACCAGGGAGTGCTAGCTATAAATTGGCATCCTCTGCTCTCACCGAGCTGCCTTCCTGTGCAAACATATGGTGCTGGCCCCTATACATCTAATATCCCCAGTCACAATTTTTTCATACCAAACAACATTCCCATTGCAAAGCTCTAAACACTTAATAGTCTATTTGCTGGTTTTTTTGACCTTGCAGGTCTCAATTTTTTCTTTCAGGTGAACAGGGCTGGGAGATCCCAATGCACTAGTTATGCAGTTGCTACACAAAAATGATAGAAGGAGAAATTTCACTTCAGGATTTTGTTGTTGTTGTTGTTGTGCAGTTCTCTATTACTGAGAAATGCTCACTGTTATTAGGCTCCAGGCAGCAGTTGTACCTTGACTTCAGACAACTGTATGTCCATGCCACTGCCACCTTCTCCTCTGGTCTTCTCCCACCACTAGGCATTAATATGATGAGCCTGCTGCCTAAATCAACGTGCCTGGGACCCACAGGACAGATGAGAGAGGTATGGATGATAGATGTAGAACAAGGAGTAAGAGAAAGGCGGGAGAAATGTCACAAAGGACAAGGAGGGACAGGTATGGTGGCAAAGACAAAGAGGAGATGGGTAGCTCGGAAGAGCCAAGAGCTGAGCAGAAAATAGCATATTCTGACTGACTGTGGCTAAAAGCCGTGGTTGTTATTTGAGGCGGATAAACTCAGGGTCCAGAATACCAGCTTTTCTCGTAGAAAACTGGAAAATTATTCAAAATTAATTCAGCATTAAAAAAATAAAGTCACTGTTTTGGCAGTGTGGGCATTTTAGGTGGGTCACCTGACAAAGAGGAGGCCTTAAAAAAATAACTTTATTCTCATATCATCACCCTGCAGGCATTTCCCCTGGGTCCATCCCACAGCTCTTCTACCATCCTCCCACCCCTGACTGTCTACAGTAAGGTTTATGCAACCAGCCCCTTAGTGCTTCTGTAAAGTGTATTGTCATTTTTTTCTATTCAAACAAGATTATCAGTAGAACTCTAGATTTAACACATGGTGGAAATGATTGATAAAAAAAGGAATATCAACTATTTTTTTTTCTTGGTTGCAAGTGCTGCAGAAAGAAAGTGGTGCTGGATTTGCAGGCAACTTTCAAATGTCTCCAAATTCAGTGCTACAAAAAGTGTATTGCACAAGCTCAGCTGGAGAGGGCAAGGCACAGACGGCAGACAAGGTCACTCTGACAACGGGGAACATGCTTTATATGCTGAGCAGCACAGGGCTGGAAGAAGGCAGACAACAAGGGCTTGACGCATTTGAAGTGTCGCTCAAAGTTGAGTCAAGGTTTCTCCTTGTGGAGATACCTGACAGCTGCAATCACCTTCCTATTTCATGTCAGCATTGATTTCAACTCCAGGTCTTGCAATTCTTCCTGTAATTTATTCAGTTCATAGTGATTCACTACATAAAAACAGGTGGGAAAAAAATCCCCTGATAAAGCACCATGGTTACAGATCTAAGATCCAGCCTTGCTATATTAAAAGCAATGGGAATTTCATTCCTGTCTTCAGGCAAACCCTTGCCCACTAGGAAGCTCCAAAGTTACAGGTCTCAGTTCTCTCCACATTTACCTCTGCTAAAATCCAGACTGACATTTTGCTTTAACAAGCTTCAGATTGCTTCTTAAGCAACCAGCTCCTCTGCTTCTGAGATAAGAATGATGATAAAAGTAAATTCAGTACCATGTTTAGCACTGCAGCCAGTGAAAATTAAAGGGTGGAAAAGGAAAGCAAAAGAAAGTGATAGTTTATAATACTTCTTTGTTTCCTCCAGTGAACAGGTGAATTGGAAACATTTCTTATATAAATTTCAGTGAGATTAGTTATGAAACATGTTTTCTGTCACTCTTTTAAATAGCATCTTTCAATAAATGTTCCATCTCCTACAGCTAATCCTGGATTTATGCAAAAAACCCCACCGAACACCACCACAAAACCCCCAACCGTGTCCAACACTGCTAAAGATGCAAAATGAAGTATTTCAGATTGTACAAGCACCCCAGTAGCCTTTCAGTTACTGCGCCTATTATATTTCCCCCAAAACGTAGGTAGGGATTGTTGCTCACTTAATGTTCAGATAGTTTTACACTGTAAGAGATTTGCAGACAAATACATATATTTTTAACAAAAAAGTTACAATGTACATTTTTATTATAGTTGCCTTAAAAGGGGTTTTGCTCTTGTCAGAACAAATTGGGGTTTTTTATTTGCTACAGCAAACCATATTTCCTGAATGTGGGATTTTGTAGTGAAGATAAAGGAATGCCTGAGTTTCAGCTCTAATTTAAATAAGCAGTAATTTTGATTTGTGTTGCCGGTACCAGAAGATTACCTTTTTCCACTCCTCCTCTTGGTCTCAGAGCAGCCCAGGAACCACCAGACAGCTCTCTCCCCATTTGCCTCGTCCCTGGGGCCTAGAGATGCACTCCTTCGGCCAAAAGATCTGGCTCTAGATCTTCACAAGTTTATGAGGTTTCTGAGTCTCTCTGGTGAGAAATAAACAATCAGCTTCACCTATGACAAATTCCAATTTACTGATCGCCTCCACAGCATGACCAAACACGCTACAACCCGTCACTCCTTGCTTTCAGGAGAAACTGAGAAACAGCAACTCAATTTACAAAGGCAACACAACAAAGATGCCCAGCTCCCAGTGACCTTCGCTCCCACAGCCCACTTTTCCAAAGGCCTGAGCTACCAACCCTGACTTTTGCAAGCTGCAAATAACGCTGTTTTCCTTTGAAAAGCTTTTTATTTATGAGGGACTCTCCTGCAGTGCGCAATCCAAGGTCAATATGGAAGGGGATAGCCCAGAACCTCCAGTGGAAGAGCAGGATGGTGAGATGGCACTCAGAGGGGAGAAAAGTGAAAGGAGAAAGGGAAAATGGGGGAAATAAGTCATTTTCATAGTTAGGCAGAATCAGTGAATCACAGAATAACACAGGGTGAGCAGGGCCTCTGGAGGTCTCTAGTCCAGTCCCTTGCTCACAGCATGTCCATTAGACCGGGCTGGATCAGGCTCCTTGTCTCCTCGAGTTCTGAATGCCTCCAAGGATGGAGATCCCAATTCCTCTCTTGGCCTCTGCCCCAGTGTTTGAACACCCTCAGGGTGAAAAAGCTTTTCCTTATATCTAGTTGGCAATTCTTGTCTTCCACCCCTGTTCAGCCAGTTTATGAAAGCAAGGCACTTCTGGGGAAGGGTGCTCCCTCTGACATGTGCGCTTGTTTTCTCTCCTGCCTTTTATATAACTCATTTTATGCTTCTTTTTTGGCTCTGTTTTTATGCAGTAGCTCTGTTACTGCCTGCTTTTCCAATTATAACAACTCTAAATTTGATTTAAACCTGATAATGATGCTGTGACCTAGCAAAGGCCTTAATTAACCCTACTGAAGCCAATAGGCATGAGGCATGCTCTTTAGGACCTTAAAAATTTGGTATGTAATTGCACCAAACGCTAAGAAAGGTGCAGGGAGGTGGAGAAGTGAATATGTAGCTAAATCAAGTCATTAGTACTAACAGGGCAGGACTTCATGCACTAGATCTTGTATAACCCATCCAGACCAGGATTGTCTGCTGACTTCCACCACAAGAGGAATATGAATATACCAGACGCACAAGAAGACTCAGCTGGTCACTGGTATTGCTACAAAAGTTTGTCATGTCCTTTGGCTGTTAGAAATCCTGAATCATGATCTGCACAGTGGGTATGTTCGTGTTTCCCTTCAAGGTCAAAGTACTTCTAACTGCATTCACTACTCGTCAGGACAATTCCAGTCTACAGGGGTACATCTTCCTCTCTTGCCATCAGTCTTGCCAAACCAAGTAAAATTTAGCGATAGGAGAGAAGGAAAAAAAAAAATTGGAAAAAAGTATCGGGAAACAATATTCAAGAGGGGTAGTCTGGCATCCCATGCAGTTAGCATTTCCAACCACCTAAAATAGCTGGTCAGCCCTGTACACAGTCTACAGTTAGTGGGGAAAAGTCCTTAACACACCAAGCTATACAAAAGAAATGTCCTATAATGTCACCACAGGAACAGTGATGTCATTCTGTGCTGCCCTTCTGGTTTTATCTTGCCTGTTTATTCATCCCCTAATTTACCGGGTAACCGTGCTGAGCTACCAAGAGACTAAAGCATGTGGGTCCAAGGTGAAGGCAGGTCTTCACACTTTGCAGGGATGATCAAAGGCGGGTGCTGTGGCAACCTGCAAGCCAGGTTTTATCCTTTTGTGTTCTTGCTGGAATTTGTCACAATCAATATTCCCATAGCTTTCTTCCCTTCCTTTCCTTCCCCAGCACCAAATCCTTGGTTCTTGCCGAGCTGTATGACTTTTGGGAGGGAGAACACTGATGTGCCAGTGATTATCACACTGACGATAGCTGACGAATGCTCAGTTGGCACCAGGGAGGAACTGGTTCTCAAACATTCTGGTTTTGGTCGTGAGAAGCAGAGGGTTTTATACAGACATGAGAAGAAAATCAGCCTATGGGGAAATGCAGTCATGAGAAATAGTCTCAAAATTGTCCCAAAATTGGCCTAAAATTGTCTTATAAACCTTTAACCCAGTCCAGAGGAAAAAGTGTGTGTTTGTCTTTCTTTAGGGCTTCACAACACCCAGCTCTAAATGTCACTAGCACGCAGAGGAACAGGAGTGACCATAATGCTCAGAAAATACCCCCATTTGCTACGTCAAGCTCTTCCAGCGACACATCAAGCAGCTCTTCACTTTCATCAGAACTGACCAGCCAGATCTCCATGGTTCAGGATCAAACCCTGCTGGACATTGCCTCCATCACTAGATTGGCCCCAGGAGAATCACCAAGCCCTCAACTATTTGAGCAAAGAGATAAAAATTTAGCAATATCATGTTCCAGCCCACTCAGAACAAGGACTATTCCAGCATCTTGCCCAGCCAGCCCCAGGCTCAGTCTAACACCCAGCTCAGCCAAGCCACAGCAATACTCTGACTCCTCTCCAGTCAGTCCAGGGATCAATGCAGCTTCCTTCTATACCTTTTGTCCTCACACAGCACAAAACGTACAAGCTTCAGCATCAGATCACACACTGACCCCAATCAGGAAAAGCACAAGGCCTCCAGCAACAATGACTCCTGAAGATGGTTCCCAGTCTCCTGGCTATTCTAAAACTGGATTAAAGAATACAGGAAAGGGTTTTGAATCAGATCTGGAAGATCCTGATCATGAAAGGTACGTATCCAGACCGTACACATATTTAAGTCCTCAAATGACTCAACTTGGTATAGGGTCATTAAGAGCCCCTCATAAAAATATAATTAAATAGCTTTTATGATTTAAATGTCCCCTGAGTTTTACAGTAACTACCCTATGCTCCCACTAAACCCTGTTATCCAAGAAGCAAAATACCATATTTTCCATACATTCATTTAGCTCTCCAGACCTGATTACAGGGGCCGGGTTGTCAACCTCAGCTCCTCCAATGGGGCCGTTTCAAGGTGCCTCATTTCCTTTCCAATGTGAAAGCACGTCTCTCCTTGTACTAGCAGGGAGAAAGTCTGCTGTTACTACGAAGCCTGAGAGATAAGAACTGGGGATGGTATTCAGTGACACGGCCAGTATCTCCCTTCCCAAACCTCAGGCTCTCTGGTCCGACCCCAGGCAAGCCGGGCTGATTTCACCTTCTGAGCCTCTGAAGTCCACACTGTGTCTGCCACTTCTTTCCTTGGCAGGAGATTTGTAACCGCGAAGGAATTCCAAGCCATGGAGAAAGAACTAGAGGATGTAAAAGAAGAACTGAAATGCCTGAAGTGGAAAGTGCGACACATTGGTGAGACTGTGCAGCCCCTGGCCGAAGACAGCAAGCGATACAATGGCTATACCCTGACGGAGCTCAAGGCAATGGTGCAGTTCGAAGACGACCCTTACAAGGCCGCACGCAAGATCCTAACTGCGCTCTTCAGCGATGTCTACTTGCTACAGCACTCAGTCACTGAACAGGCCTGCAACTCCCGATCTCTGCCCAAGCCCAAAATAGACCCAGAGCTGTACACAGTGTACCGTGACATTCTGAAAAGCATATTCCCTGGAATTAGCAGCCAGACCTTGAGGGAAGAGACACAACACGTGCAGAAAACCATCCAGAAAGAAGTTCAATAACGCCAGAGCCCACAAGATGTTCTACAAAGTGAGAAGTCTCTGATGATTTTAGAGGACTGAACTGTGGGTACGTACCATTGGTTGAGTCTATCCCTTTTAGGTATGAATTATCTGTAAAGATATTGGTGAGCTCTGAGCCCTTCATGCCACTTGCCCAATGAGACAGGATGGGAAGGTGTTCCACATACTTCCCACATTTTAGAAAAAAAATTGCCCTCTTAGTGTCTCTTTCAATATAGGGATGTTTCCTTGTTTCCAGCAACTACAAATGCTGACAAAAGAATCCAGGGAAGGCATTGTGTGTCCGAGCAATGGCCTTCCCCCAGCCCCAAGCAGACCAACCAACCAACCAGCATCTGGGTAGTTTCTATTTTCTAGAGTATATCATTCATTAAATGACATTACTTGTTAGAAAATTGTGCCTGTTCTTTTTTCTTATTTATTGTTATCTAAAACTGCTTTGCACATCAAATCAATCAATAATCATAACTTGAGTACACACTGGGATGCGACCTGCACATGCAACAAACCACCCTCCCCTCCCTGCCCACCTGCATCCTGGGTTACGTGGGAAGAAAACCAGAGCACAGAGTCACAGAAAACCACAGTCAGAAGCTGCAGGGCACCCAAGCAGGTTTCCATTGCAGATAACTGGGTGCCAGAGCATAAGAGTGTGCAATATGCCCTAAATCATCACCACTCCCTTTCAGAGAGTCATTGATGCTTCCCTGGTCTCACTGTGAGAAATACATCAAACCCCAGAACTTGTCTGTCCCGCACACTGCTGCTGCTCCCTGCCAGGTCACTGAGGTTGGCAAGAGGAGCGATAGGTAACCTGTGAGTTCAGCCTATCTTTCCCTGCACTGGGCTATAATCCACTACTTAAGGTTATTCCAAAAACAACAGGGAGGGAGAGAGAAAAAAAAATTAAAAAGAATAAAAGCAGATCATTCCTTGTGCACCACAGCTCCAGACATCTTCAGAGGATGGGAGGGAGGGTACACTCCAAGGACAAACTCTGTACCTGCTGGGCTCTTCTGCATAAGGATTCTGGGGATGTTCTGACATTTGTATGAGAGATCCTATTTGTCTTTCAGCATGACATATCTATACTGTTCTCTACTGGGCTTACAAATACATTTTTTTTAAAGCTCCTTGTTATTAGGAATTTATTTTACTTACAAGCCGATGTGCACACACAGGCACAGCACTTTGCCCGTGCAGCCCCTCTGTACCACCCTACAGCCAAGATCTACAGCCACGCCTGGCAAACTACCAGGTAGCTGCGGCAGTACAGAGGGTTGTGCACAGCGCGTGCCCTTGGGGCAGGCACAGCACCGAAGCAAGGGACTGGGAAAAGGATGCCTCCCCTGACGGCCAACTCCCTTCGCAGGTGGGCACGGAGGTGAGTATAGGATGGATGGAGCCGCTGGAGATGCAGTGTCCCCTCAGACCAAATCACGCACCCCGGTGAGCACCGCGGAGGATTATGACAAATCATTTGGAAGGCTCCGTGCACCGTGGAGAGGATATTTGTGTCTCACAGAAGCATGTCCTCCTGCAAGCTTTTATGTTCTGCTTTCATGGCTCTTTTTTTGTAGTAAAAAGTGTCTCTTTGGTTCAGATAGGTAGGAATAGGCTGACCCTCCTCTCACAGAACTCAACGTAGGCACTGCTCCAGAATGCTTTTCTACAACAGCCCAGACCCCCAACTCTCCCAGAGGTCTCTTTTCAGAGCTTTCCATAATTTCCAGTGGACACAGAACTGAGGAAAATGTAATGTTGGCATTAGCAATATCAGACTTCCTATGTTGTATTGCCTGCCCTCTCTGCCTGCAAAATCTTAATACAGTTGATCCTGTAAGAACAGGCTCTGTGGCTTCTCATGTTCGCAGGGCCAGACAATATGCTCAGCTTATATTTCAGCCTTGTTCTCCACATGAATACTAGTAACAAGGTCCTGCACAGATCTATGAATTATGTTTATTAGCTTTGCATCATCAAGGCTGGTTCTGTCAGATATTGTCAGTTCTGGGTCCCTCTCAGGTTTCAGTGTCCTCTTCCTCTGTTGCAGTATGAATCACTACTGCCCATTTTTGAGATGTGCATGAGGTCTTCTACCCTGATATTCATGGCTTTTAGCTATTCCAGTGGAGCTGGAATAAGCCTTCTCTCCAAAATGTTATCACCTTCACTTGTATAGAGACAAACAGAAAAGGCAATCAGACACAGTGAAGAATTAGCCTATAAATCCATGTTGCATTTCATCTAATCTCCATTAAACTATAAAACTAACTCCATTTTTTTTCCTTGAACACGTACTTTCAAATCTGAAGACTCAATACCGGACCAAATGATTTTTTTCTTTCCTTTCTTAACTATATGCATTACATTTGCTATTCTCCAGTCATACCCAGATCCAAAGATTCATTAACATTACACTTATTCAAGTAACACGCACTGTCTGTTATGTATTCATCCCTGCGTGTAACCTGAGGACCTCAGAGCCACGGCACAGGTTGTCTTTCTCCGTGTCATCTCTAGGAGCAGATGTCTAGTCAGAACTGTGAGGACATGAATACTTTTTACAGCCTCAGGCGATCTGTAGTTTGTACTGATTGACTGCGTTAAATAAGCAACCTATTAATATTCACCATGCTGTGGCTCAGTAGGCTTCAGGTGGCAGAACAGATTCTACAGCAGCTAAGTTATGTTAAACAGAGGGTCCTGATCCATACTGGTCATAGAATCACAGAATAATTTAGGCTGGAAAGAGTCTCTGGAGGTCAGCTGGTCCAACCACTCTGATTAGACAATATTCTAATAAAAGGAACCAAATAATAAAATCTATGCTGCAAAAACTAAACCATTGCAATACAACAAACATCTGACAACAATCAAAAGAAAAGAAAGAAAAAAGAGAACATTCATACAAACAGCCTGCACTGGAATTACCTGCAGGTCAGATCTACCATAGGAAAACCTGAAGACTTTTCTTCTCCCAGAAGCACTGTGCAGGGAGATCATCTACAGGCTAATCAGCTTGTAGAAACTTAATTTACATCTGCATCAGCGGGTAAAGAAGATAAATGGCAAAGTTTCTGTGGCACTGTTTTGGAGGGCCCTTTTCCATGGCTAGATCTACTTGCATTGCCAATTCGTTTTTCAACCTTCTCATTAATATCTCTAACGCATAATTGCAGTCAAAATCAGTCACTGAATCAGACATTTTATGACCTCATCCTTACCCCTTCGTACTGTTAATAATAATATCCCTGCATAATGTGAATGCTTTCTGCAAAATAAGTCCACCAGCCCTTCTGGTTTATGACTTAAAATACAGCAGAACTAGTTTGAGGCACCTGTCAACATCTTTATATTAATTATCAGCATCATCTGTACTGAAATCTGAGTCACAAGTGTTTGGGCAGTACCACCAATTACCATTAACCCCTTCTCCATTCTTCCTACATGAACACCTGCTTCTCAT